GAGCCCACATTGTCTGCTCCCACAATGAAGCATTTTGGATAATCATCCAAAAGTTGGATGATCTTTAGGAAGTAGTTGGATTTCCAGGTCGCCCTGTCTTCCCTGGGCATCACGGCGGTGCGTCAGGGATTGCCACGGAGGGTTTAAAGACGATGTCACTCTCACGAGGACGCCTGGAAAGAGCCGGGATTTAGTTCTTGTCCTGCTGGTTTTGGTCTTGTTTTGATTTGATTTCTTTCTATCCCCCTAATTTTCCTTTTTGAAATGGAAATGTTTGCCCTGTGCCATTGTATGTCAACAATGTTTAGCTTTACTTTTTAGAGGAGCACATGGCCAAAAGGGTTCATTAAGTCTTAGAGGAGGCTTTGGACTGGGACTTCTCAGCAATGCTGGAAATGTTAGGACTTTGGCAACTCCCAGGAATGGACTAAATGCCCTTTGCATAGGAATGTGCATGAGACTTTTGGGGACCAGGGGCAGAGTGTTTTGGTTTGCATCTGGGTGCTTCCCCAAAGCCTTATACATTCACAGGTGGAGGTCTGGAGGTGCTTGGATCATGGGGACATGGTACTCATCAGTGGATTAGTGCACTGATATGTTTATAGCTAAGTGTGCTGTCAGCCAGTGAGATCTGGTTAAAGAGGTGGGTCACTACAGGTGTGTGGCCTGGAAGGTTGTGTCTCCCTGCCCATCTGCTTTCTTCACTTTCTGTTTCCTAGAAACCATGAGCTAAAGAGCTATTCCTCCCCTGTGTCCTTCCCTTGCCTTCATGTCTTGGAGCTGGCCAGTACGGGCTGAAACAAGAGCCAAAACTAACTTCTCCTTCCTTAGGTGTTTTGTCCAAACAATAAAAGAAGTAATAAGAAAAGTGAGGATTATAGGTGGGTATCACCACGCTCTCCTCTTTTGGAGTTACCTTAAGCAACAAATAACTTAACACTTTTATCTTAATTGAAGCAATAACAATAGGAACAGCTATGGATGAGGCCACATACAATGCACCCAGCATATCAGACTGTTGCCTGACTACCAGGAATTGTGGATAGCATTGATTGTAACAAGTATTCTGATTTCATAAGTATTAAATATGATAATATGTACATCTCTAAATCTATGCAATACATTGCAGGTTATATGCCTTTTGACGGGATTAGTGTATGAGAATAATAGTACTTCCTTCACAGGAAACAAGTGAAGATTAAATGAAACATTTATCAAAGTAGCTGATTTAAAATAAGTATCCAATATACTTATATATGAACTACTGTTGTTCTTAATGATTGTCTAAGTTGCATCCCAGATATAACAAGTATGTATTCTTGCATAATAGGCCCTTTAAACTTGGTGGCTTAAACCACTAGACATGCATTATCTCCTAGCATCTGTGAGTCAGCAATTTATGAGTGGCCTAGGTGAGTGATTCTGGTGAAGGGTCTCGCTTGTAGGTACATCCCAGATACCCATCTCCTGTAGGGTTGGCTTGGATTGCAGGATCATCTTCCTAGATGATCAGAGTTGTTGGCTGGGGCCTCAGCTCTTTCCTACATATCTGTCTCCAGAGCTTCTACTGTGTCTTTGTAACATAGCAGCTGGCTTTCCAAGGGAATGATCTAAGAGCAAGGAGAAAGTCACAGTATTTTTTACGATTGAAATTGAATACTATTTGTCTCAGTTACTTTTCTCTCATTATTGGGACAAAATACCCGACACTCAACATTAAAGAAGGAAAGGTTTATTTAACTCACAGTTAGTGGAGGTTTCAGTCCACCCTCAGCTGGCTCCAAGGTAGAGTTGTATATGGAAGAGGGCAGCAGTTCATGGTGGCAGAAAACAACAAAACAGCAAGAGTAAATGAGATGAGTAGTGGCAACAATGGCTACAGAGAGCAAGTCTGTCTCCCTTATGTTACATTCAGACTATGTGCCCCAGGCCGAGTGTAGCACTGACACCTATAATTTACATAACCCAATACCACACCCTCTCCACTTTCCTTCATTAAATCCCCAAAGAGTTGAAGCCAGAGGTTGGAAAAGTCTGTTGGGTGTGATATATGCAGATCAAACTGCTGTGGGAAAGAGAAGGGAAGGCCAAGGCGGGTACCAGTTCAGTCAGTAATAGACAATAATTAGCAAGTCTTTCCCTTTGCTCTTTAATATCCTAAAGAGAGAATTTAGAAAGTCCATTGGCAACTTTATAATCATGGTGAGACATCAGATTAGTCACATCCTCCTTGAAACAAAACATCAACCAAATCTAGGCAGGGTAATGCATGCCTGTAATTCTAACACTAGGAGACAGGAGCAGGAAAATCTCAAGGTTGAGTCAAACCTGAGCAACTTGGCAACTTAGTGAGACCTTGTCAAACAAACAAACATGAAAAAAGGTGGAAAATATAGCTCAGTGCAAAGAGCCTGGGTTCAATACCTAGGAATGCAAAAACAAATGCTAGCACTCTACTTGTAGAGTTTAAGTGTGTAAGAGAATATGAGAAAGAAAATGGTTTTAAGTAACACAACAATCTGTTATGATCTCTGCCTCTGGAGTATCAAGAGGTTTGAGCTGATATTTGTAATGGCTTTCCTTCGTTATAAATGTCTATTTCTTTACTCTTTGTCAATATCTCGGCCAAACAGGATTCTTTATGACATAGGAATACTGCAACCTGAATTTCTGTAGTGTCTGAATTAGTGATGTCAAGTCTTTGCCAGGGTTTCCAATGACGAAGGTCATGGGGAAAGAAGTACTGGGAAGTAGTCCACTGAATCCCCTTTTGTAGAAAGATTTTTTATTAGTATATGTTTGTGATACAAAATAAATACACGAATTGTGGAGAACTGGTGGATATGCATATTGTATCTTGATTTTTTTTTAATTTTCACTCTAAACTTCCCTCTATTCCTAGGTCCCTTTTCAATTTCTTCAAACTCCACTTCTCTATTTTCTATATCATTTATTTTTCTTTGAAAGCTATTGGTATTTTTGGTTTTCTACTGTTTTGGGGTAGCAGTAACCAAATTTGTCTCTGATAATTGGGATGGGTCACCCATCTAATAAAGTGATTCCTCTCTTTCTCTATTCATTGTTTATAATCAAGTGTGAAGGATCAGGGTAGAGGCTCACTCAGCTTCCAGTTCATCTGAAGGATGCTCTAGTTCCCTGGTCGAAGCTTTCATCTACTGTGCACTAGAACCTCCAAACACAGACAACTCAAGTTCATGAGAACAGGAAGAGAAGATCACCCAGAAGGCTGTTCGACACAAGAGTGAGCAAGGATTTCTACTTCCTGTTCTTGACTCCTGAAGCCATGCTTTCTGCTCAGGAGGAGATGACATTGGCTTAAGGCATACACCACATCCTGTAGAACAGGATGTTCTGTCTAGGGTGTTGTCTCTCATCTGAGATTATGACTGAAATTTCAGTACTCCACGTCAGTACACTATTAAGTCAGTTGCCTCTAAAAGTTGAGGGAATGTGATAAAAACCACTGAATTATTTAGTTGTAAAAATTCATTGTTGTTTTATAAAATATATAATTGCCACTACCACATAAGATATTAAGGTGATGAGTGAGAAAACCTTAAGTCTTCTGAAAATGATGTTGACAGAAACATCTCAGGTAAGAAAAGCTGAATAGTACTTATCCCTGAGAGGGCAACAGGCACGGTCCAATGCAACAAGCCTGTAAGCTGTCAGGTCCCTCTGGGACATGGTGCCATACAGGGGCTTGGCGTGGGCCTCTGCTGTTGGCAGATGATTCACTGAGTTGTGATGACACCTAGGCTTACTTTGATGGAGAAACCTCATACTGTTGAGATTTCATCCATACTTCCATAGCCACTTTTTATGAGGATCCATGAAATAAGCACTGGGATTGCTGGAGAACAAGCTTCAATGGCCTCTTCAAAGAGGATCACTTTATTTCATTTTTTGTTTTTGCAGTATCTCCAACTCTAGATGCCCTCTAGTGCACACTTGTTAGAATAATTTCTTCATTCTCTAGTCTCAGAGTTCAATTTATACACACCTTGTCATCAATTTTCCAATTTTGTCCTTTATAAAACCCTGGTCAGTCAGCCAATCCATTAATCACTGCCCATGAATTAGCATAGATATATAACTCAGGCATCTTTCCTCTCATACAAAGTGTGCGAGAGAATGTACTGTAAAAACTCTATTCTATTACAGAATTTCTCCTTACCATATAAAAAAGCAGCATTACCATATAAAAAGCCTTTTGAT